TTCTTGTTTTCGGAACTATGTTTTTCTGGGACATTTCGCGAGTTGTGTGTGTCATCACTGTGCAGGGGCCATGCCATTCTTCTCTGCCGAATTCAAATTTGTATGGACGTCCCAGAGGTCACATTCTAATCCTGTTTTTTTTCTCCTCATCAAGCAACCAGTAGTACTGTGGAACCCATGTTGCCGAACCTAAAAAACTGCCAACCCTGGCCTTTGCAGCCCAAAACAACAGGCGAACCCACGTTGTCGAACCTAAAAAACTACGATCCGTGGCCTACGCAGCGTGAAACGTCAGGCCTACTGGGCTGCAGTGACTCGGATCTACATAAATGCATTCTGTTTGGCACAAAATTCCACAAATTGTTTTTCATGAAATTTCATCGGCAAAACATCATGGTTTCTTTTGCTCTGACTTTTTTTGCACTTATACAGCAGAACCTATCTTACATCCCTGGTTGTTATCAGACTTAAAAAAGACTGCCAAAGTTGGGGTGCTTGGAATTTTTTGCAGCCCTTTGCACCCCCTTTTGTGTCCCATTAGGCTGTGTTTTTCATTTTGCAGCGTGTATACAACCACAACGTTTTTGGAGGGGGGTTGTGTTGGTACTGGCGGTTTATGAGGAGCATAATATTTTGTACTAGTCATGTGACTCATGTCTGCATTCCATTGTGAGGAGGATTGAACTGGTGCCTTTACGGCTTGGCAGCTCGAAGGAACTTTGTCGAATGCGAACCATACACGTTTTTCCAGTGAGGCTGGGAGTGTTAGGATTAATCTTACCTTCGCCGTTTAGCCATTCGTCACCATGATATGCTTGATTGATCAGGCACTCAATCAATAATGGCTTCTTAGTCAGTTCATACGGATCACAGCCACCGTGACGATGCTGCCACCCTGTCCAGGGCATTCACCTTGAAGTTCCTGGTCAGATCGCCGAGTCCGGAAGGATATACGCTGTTCGTGCCGACTGCCACGACAGGCTCGCGGGGCTAGAGGCACGGCTGTTCTCTATAGCTGTCAAGGGGAGGAAGACAGAGCAGGCGGACAGTGTAGGGGACAGCTACCTTGGGGCCATGACACCATCGCCAGATGCCAGAATGGCCGCAGGGTTGGAGTGGAGCGCAGGTGGTAATTTACATGGTGATGAATTACGAAGATTGCTGTATGACACAAAAAAAAAATATGTGGAATGGTTGTATAATATTGTAATCGGTGACAGAAGGCGAAGGCTGGGGGTATGACTTCAGAAGTCAGAAGTCAGAAGTCAGAAGTCAGAAGTCAGAAGGCTGGGGGTCGGGCGGCGGTATGACTTCAGAAGTCAGAAGTCAACGTCGATTGTAGGTGGAGGGTTAGCTGCTTGATGTTTTAAAATAATTGCATAATTGCATAATTGCATAATTGCATAATCGATGTCGAATGGAAGTAATTGATATGAGAAGGTGAAGGCTGCGGACCGGGCACTGGTTGCTAAGAGAAAGTCGGGAATTGTGGATGTCGGGCCAGCTGCAGAGGCCGCGGTGTTACTTCAGAAATCGATGTCGCTACCTGATGTCGCGGGTGGAAGTGAAGGCTACTCTATGTGGCTCTTGACTAATTGCCTTTCTTGAGAAGTGAACGCTGATTGTGGTGTCGGGCCAACTTCTGAAGTCGATGTAGTGTGTTTGTGGATGTCAGTGGTGGAAGTGACGGCTGCCCACGTGGCTCTTGACATTCACCAGCTGACGGGGGGGGGGCTACTTTAGATGTCGACACAGAATTTATTTTATTTTATTTTATTTTATTTTATTAATTTTTGGGAAAAAGCAAGGAACACAGAAATTCAACTCCGCAGGGGGTGTTTTTCAGATGCTGAGGTGGTCCTTGCTTCAGAAACCAATGTCGTTAACTTAAATGTTGGTGTCGGGCTGAAGGAGTCAATTCTAAGCTACGGTTGCGTCTTTTCTCTCTGGAGTGGAAGTGTCTTTAGCCCACGTGGCATTGGGACTTATAATAGTCTGGCACTCAGAAGCTGACTGCAAAGGATCGAGGTTCCAACCAGAGGAATGGGAGGGGGAACCAGAGCAAAGGCACTTATAAGAGTCTGACAGTAGGTACGCGTATGATGATTGGTAAGGAGGAGGGAGGGGGAAAGGGAATGGGACCCAAGAGCCTAGCTTAGTGGGTACACCCATCAACTGTTGAAAATATGGACCCGTGTTCAAATCCAGATGATGGAACTTGAGGAGTACAATCAACTACTACTAATGAATTGCTTGGGGCCGGTCAGCTCAATGATAATATCTCAAGGCCGTCGCCCTTTAAAAAAAAAAGAAGAAAAAAAAAAGAAAAAAAAAGAAAGGGAATGGGAGGGCGACAAAGGAGATATACTTACGGGGAAGGATCGAGGTGCCAACCAGAAGAAGCTTTGGGAAACGCTTGCACTTGCAGCAGTTTCGAGCGGGCGAACGACCTTTTGAGAGAAGTATGTTATTCCGCTTTTGCCACCTGGCCTCATATTCATTCCCTACTTAAGGTTCCCTTCAATCCCTCCAGCCAGTAATTGAAAAAAAGGGAGAATGAGAAGGAACAAATGAATGAATGTGAATGGAAGAAATATCTCACTCACAATAAGTGCATTTCGGGTCACAGATTTTCTGGTTTGATCTTTTGCTACTCTTTTTTTTTTGTAAGTTATTTAATTTATTAATTAAACTGGTCCTAATTGTGTTGAACCATGATCAAGGTACTTAGGGTATAAACCACGGTTTGGTTACGTTTTTAAAAGATTGGCTTAGTTTTGGATTTTACTTTACGCATTGTGGACCTCTAATTTCTAAATTGGTTGGACGAATTTCATTTAGAATGGGGGTCTAACAATAGT